ATGTTATAGCTTTCAGTAAAGTTCATATTATTATAGAATCCTTGTAGAAAAGTCTAAGACAAAATAAGGGTGTGGAAATGTGAGCAATTCTTTATTCTATTTGTGTTTTGAAAACTAGATTTAAAAGTAGATGCATAACCTTTTTTATGTCATGGATAAGCTGAAATACTAACAGTGTAATTAGCTGGGATTTTATTTACATATATTTAATGAGGTTTATGGGTAGATCCTGGTGATAGAACAATCACGCTATGAAAAAACAGCTGAGTTATGAGAATAGGCAGTCATAGGAAAAATCATCTGATAGCTAGGGTGATAGTAATGACTTGCCATGAGTGCACAAAGCTCTTGGAGGAAGATTAGACTCAGTGGGCACTTTGGAAGGGGCTTTTGCATTATTTCCACCTGTAAATGTGGCTGCAAGACCACTATTTCCATGTTCAGAGTCCTATTCCTGACCAGCAGCACAGGTTGTGTTACAGAAAATGTAAAACTAATATGAAAATATTAAGAAAATACTCAAATAACTTAATGTTACTTATGGTCATTGTTATTGCATAGTTGTAGCCTACCTAAAGTGATAATTTGGAGTTTGCTCAAGGAAAATTCTATTACCATCTTGATGCAGCATATCAAATAACACATGGATTAAAAAATTCATATGTGCAAAAACAAGATGCTACCATTGCAAAGGGAGGCAAGGAATCTTGATACTGCACATGAGTGTTTGTTTGAGGTAGGCCTACAGGCCATTCAGGGAAGCCTAATTCCTGGATTTGGGACCCAGATCCAACAGTTAGATACATTCTCTATCAAATTAATCCTAAAAATCTGTTATTTATCAAGGCTTGTATTGAGATATATGTGTTATAAAGGAAGAACACCATTTTAATTTTCATTTATTGTAAAGAGGTGCATTAGAAATTTACAAGAACAGCCTCTGTTTTATGATAAATTTACAAGTGAAGTTAAAGCTCTAAGTTAAATCTACTATTTTATATGAAAAAAGTAATTGTATCAAACAGGTAACCTATATTTGGTAGTACAAACTAAGGTAAATTACATATCTTATTAATCATTCACTAAAATTTACAGAAAAATGGGATTTGATTAACAACAAATGAAGAAGCATATAATTTATTTAAATATGGTAAGATAACATACTATTGTAGTTTAATAACTAATAAAGCTTTCAGCCAAGTATATGAAAATTAAGAATGCTTTATGATAAATATACAACATAGTAACATATATCCTAAGCACAACTTTCATATAAACACCTCAGCTTAACTCAAATAATATTTAATATTAAAAAGGTTAGCTTATATGTACGCAGATTTAAAAGTAAAGCTCATATACACGTTCTGTATATTAGAGAAAAAAAGAACATAATGCTTCCTTTAGCATTAGTGATTCTGTAAGTGATCACAAGAATCAAAAGTAACAAAATGTAAAATTCATTTGGACACTTGCTCAGATGAATATGGCATACAGTCATAACTTGTATCTCAGTACCTCTGAGGTGCAAGTTTATATAGAGCCCTATATAAATTTTCAAATGTTTTAGCATTGATCAAAAAAATATGGATATGAACATCCCAGCAACAACTATACACCAATATGAAATGGACAAACATTAACTTTTTAAAACTGCCTAGTAATATAGGTATATAGTATTAGCAAGTGCAAATCCAATAAATTCTGTTATCTTTTTTTAAGCTTTAATGATAATGGGGATTAATATTCCACTAATTCCTTAGAAAATCAAAAAGGCCATTTACAACTGTGAAAAAGCATCACCAAAAGGTGGGATTCCTATTTTTATCATTTAGCATATGCCCAGTAAAGTAAAAAATATATATATATATAATAATGATGATTATAACTGAATGATGATTATGATAGCAATTCTTCTTTTCTAGTTGCCAGTAGATACGAATATTGCCAGTATAATGTTGCCTTGAGGCTTGTGCCATGTACAGAAGAAGTACCTGTCAAGATTAATTCTTTTGCTTCCAAAGAATATCTGAGGCCCAGCTGACAATTTCAACTAATCAAGTTTAGTGTGAATCATTATTAGCAAGAATTTAATATATATAATTACAGAAACAAATATATATTATACAAATTGTAGAGGTAAAAAGTAAATCATGATATTACCTCCATTGTGAGTCGGAAAATTATTAATAAATGGAATGATTATGAACCTAAATTAATTTACCACACCAAAACAAGTTTCAAAGGGAAGAGGAGAAAAACAAATACAAAGACATAACTTCCTTACAGCAATTAAATACTCTTCTGGAAGCTTTCTTTGAAAAATGTAAAAAAAAAATACAGCTATCCATTTTTACACAATAATCCAAAATTCATTAAATCTTGCTCATTGAAAAAAAGTGAGACCTCAGAGAGATTTTATGAGATGGCCATAGGAGTGAAGTGGACAGAGGAGGCCATGTGATTGCCGTTGAATTGACTGCTGTAAGAGGTCACAGTTTCG